TCTTTTCATTTACTTAGGTCATCTTCCCTTTCTCTCAACATGATTTTATACTTCCCAGCATGAACATTCTGCACGTTTTCTTAAGGAAATTATTCTCTCCCTCGCTGGCCCTGGCCCTGGCCCTGGCCCTGGCCTGCCTTCTTTCTTGCCTTCCTCATGCTACTAGAAATGGCATTGTCTTTCTACAACTGGCTACTGAGTTTCATATAGAAATATCACCGAGTACTGAGTATTAGCCTCACTGAGTTTATTCATTAGAACCAGGAGTATTTTGTAGGTGGCAGGGATTTTGCAGACAATAATGCAACCCGATGAGGAGCTGGCTTAATTCATTCCATTGTGTGCATGCAGACTTGCAAAGGCAATATTCTCTTTCCCTCCTTCTTCCTCGGTCCCTCTGTCTATCCTTGACCCTCCTGTCCTCCCTCCCCACCCCCCGTCTTGCTCTTCTTCCTTGCTCCCTTCCTTTCTGTCTGACCTTCCCGCCTCTCCCATCTTGCCTTCCCTCTTCCTTTCCTCCTTTTCTTCTAATCCTGTTTTATGGGTTACATTTTATTTTTGGCAAGAATGAATGTCGAATTTTATGGAGTGTTTCTACCCATACTGAGACACTCTTGGTTTTTCTTCTTTTCACTGTTACCACCATGAAATTCACTAATGAACGGTTGAATTCTGAACTCCAGCCATGTATGAGATTAACCTACTTAGCCATGATGTGTTTACCTTAGATATGCTGAGTGCACTTGGTGAAGGGTTTTTCACATCTAATTTTGCATTTGATATGAAATTTTTATACGGTGCACTTTGTTTCTCATATGAAAGGAATGCTACATTCACATCTGAATTGCTTTTTCTGTTTTCTTTAAAAGGCTATGGAGGATGGGATCATCATTATTATCTTATTTCTTTTTGAAATATTTGAAGAATTCAGCAATGAAGTCATTTAAGTTAACTGAAATTTTCGGGAAGTTTTTAAAACCATAAATTTGACATTTTTAATAGAGAAAAGGAAATTTATGTCATCTATTTTAATTAGCTTTTTAGTAGTTTCATCTTTTTTTAATGAATTGGTCCATTTCTCTAAGCATGAGCTTATGCGGATGAAGAGTGCGCATCTTTCATCGAATAATATAAAGTTCCTTCAAAGCCCTATTTTAGCCGCATGCAACAATATTTAACATAGTTGAATTTAATTTTCACTTCTTTCAAGCTGTTTCATTTCTTGAGATTTCTTCTTTGACCCATGAGTCTTTTAGAAGTATGTTATATTATTTCTAAATATTTGAGAATGTCTTTATTCTATGGCTTTCAGTTTAATCCCACTATGATCAAAGAACATACTTTGCAAAATTTCAATTATTTTAAATTTATTATGATTTGTTTTCTTTTTTTGTCTATAATTAAAACTTTATTGAAAAACTGACACCAAAATAGGAGATCACTGTTGTATACTTTATAAAATCAAACACAGTTACATTGTCTTGGTAGAGTCACTAAACTTGATAAGGCTTTCTGTGAAAAACGCAAACTCAGGAACTTGTATAGATGTTTAGTGTTGCTTTCTTCTAAATGAACAGCCTTCTGTGAGCCTGGCTTTTCCTCCTGTGGGCTGGCACAGTGCTGTTGAACAACCTACACAAAGAACCCTGTCTGAGCATGGCTGAAAACTGTAGTAGTCTTGTAGCAGCCTGGACATTTCACACCCAGGAAGGAAGAATTTGGGCTCTGAACCAGCCGTTTCTTCTTATGTTTCTTCTTTTCGTCTTCCAAGGAAGGGTGTGAAAGGTCTCTAGCCAGAGGCATGGTGACGGCTCAGCCAGCACCGACGCTCCAGGTCTCCGAGGTAAGGTGCTCTATGATTTGTTTTCTAATATGCAATCTGATCTACCTTAGTGATGGCTCCATTCTCACTTCACACATTCTATTTGACCGTTAGTGCACAGAATTTTCTATAGATGACCACAGGGCGTTTTAGTTGGTCAGACTGTCCATCGGCTCTGTACTTCTTCTGTCTCTGCCTTATTTGTTCTACGAGCTACTGAGTGAGCACTGCTGAGTTATCGCCTGCTCCTCCTTGCACTTCAGTCAGTTTTGCTTTGTGCATTTAGGGGCTCTGCTGTTAGTCACAGTCACACTTAAGACATATGCCTTCTTAGTGAATTAGACCTTTTATCATCAATAGTTGTCTCTCTTTACCTGCTAGTAATCCTCCTTGCCTGCGGGTCGACTTTCTCCAACATTAAAACAACCATTCCAGCCTTCTTTAAGTTAAAGGTGGAAAAAATGTATCTTTTACTAGCCTTCTATTTTGATCATGTCCATTTTATCTCTGGTACTAGAAATCTGGGACTTGGACCAAACTCCAACTCCAGCTCCGGCTTCCACCTTCTTACTTTAAATCTCTTTAAGGTTGATTTCTTAATAGAGAAAGCATGGGTAAGCCACTCTTAGAACCCAGTCTGTGCATTCTTAGCTGACATTTAGGTCATTTAATTTAATATATTTATATTCAATATATTCACATTTATATTTAATATATTGATAGACCTAGCTGAATTTAGATCTACCCCTTTGGTTATTTTTCTCTTTGCTTCCTTCATTTCTTTGCCCATCTGCTTCTCCTTTCCTGCCTAATTTTTGTTATTTACATTTCTTTAGTATTCCCTTTATTTGTTGCCCCTTTGGCTTAATTTCCCTTTTTGCTGTATGTTGGGGTTCTGAAAGAAGTTCTCACTATATAGCCCAAGATGGCCTCAAACTCTCAATCCTTCTGCCTCAGCATCCTGAATGCTGGGATACAGGCATTATAGGGATTATAGCACCACCACACTCAGATCTTGTATAATTTTTAATGCTTATTCTATGGATTAGACTATACAACCTAATGTTTTATGGTCTACTTTGAGAAAATTTTTACCACTTTAAGGAAAATATGAAGCTTTATTACCATATAGACACCTTACCCATATCTCTTATACTTACACACACACACAGCTTTCTTTTCACTAAGGAGTTTCAGTGTTGTGAATCCTTGCACTTCTGGTATTATTCTAATAGTCTCCAAGGACTTCCTATTTTTTGAAAATGTTTTCTTTCTGTTACTTGAAGGCAATTTTATTCAACTACTTACAGATAAATAATTCTCCGCTATAGCATGTCTATTTTGCTCCCCAGACCACCCAATGGACGTCTTTATTTCATAAATATTTTTCATTTTGAAATTTTCCATTTTCTTCTCCTTTTTTAAACTTCATATTTGCCTAATAAGAATTTTTTTCTTTTCACTTAAAAAATTGCTAGCATCTACTTCATGAAGCACTTTAAAGCCCTTGACAATTACGACATCTAGGCCACCTCAGGGTGACATTTGTTATCTTCCCAATTTCAGAACTGGTCACTTTTTTAAAAAATAAAATCGTGATCGACTGGAGAATTATGTAGATTTTCTTGGTGCTTTGTAGATCAAAGAAACTTAGGTTTCACCCTAGACATTGTCAGAATTCCCTTTGGAGAATCGAGTGAATGTGAATGCCCTTCTGTTCCTGGGACAATCTACCCACTTCGAGCCAGACCTCAGCTCTGCTCTGTTCCTGGGGCAATCTACCAACTTTGAGCAGACCTCAGCTCTGTCCTATTATTTTCAAGAGGTGACTCGGATGCCAACTCAGTCTCAAAAGCTTGGCTATGACCCGAGTCTGCCTCAGACGAGTTGTCTAGGGGTTAAATATTGGTCCAGGACCATTGCTCACACTGCAGGTTAATTCTGAAGCCCTTGCTAAGGGTCTGTGCCTGTATCTGATGCATATAGCTGGTCCAGACTCATAGGTAGATGGGTAAATGTTAGGTAGGTAGGGAGTAGGTAGGTTGATAGGTAGTAGTTAGGTAGGTAAGTAGTAGGTAATATGTAGGTAGATAGGTAGTAGGTAGGCAGGTAGTAGTAGGTAATAGGTAGCTGTCTTCTTCAAGATCTCTTTCATAGTCTCCAACTACCAAAGACTCCTTTTTCTGGCTCCTCTCTTGATGTGGGAGTGTCATATATCAATCTGTTGATTTCACTGGTTAAGCAATAAAGAAACTGCTTGGCCCTGATAGGTTAAAACATAGGTGGGAGGAGTAAACAGAACAGAATGCTGGGAGGAAGAGGAAGTGAGCTCAGAGACACCATGCTCAGTTCTCCCAGGTAAACGTGATAGCTCTGCTCTCTGAGGAACACGCGATGAAGCTCCCACCCAGGATGGACATAGGCTAGAATCTTCCCGGTAAGCGCACCTAGCGGTGCTACACAGATGATTAGAAATGGGCTAAATTAATATGTGAGAATTAGTCTAGAAGAGGCTAGATAGAAATGGGCCAAGCAGTGTTTAAAAGAATACAGTGTCCGTGTAATTATTTCGGGGCATAAGCTAGCCAGGTGGCCGGGGTGCTGGGGACGCAGCCCCACCGCTCCTATTACTACACTCTCTCCACACAATTGGGCAGTCTCAGAGTTTTAGCCTATTACCCCGTTCCATAGTTTTGCTCAGCTGAAGGCCAGGCTAAGGACAAAGCAGCAAGGGAAGGGGAAGTGGGACTCTCCATAATGTTTACAAGGGAATTGGTTCCCCGCTCCAGAGCCAGAGGTGAAGCACTTCCTTCAGCCCGTTAGCCTACATGCCAGTCCTCTGGCCAGAAAGGACCATTTTCAGACTTCTACCATCCCCGCTCATTAAGCCACTTCCCAAGAACCAGCATTGCTACTAAGGGGGAGTAAAATCCCCAAAGCAGAACTCAATGCCAAAACCCTGGGCATCTAAGCATAGCCTCTAATTCTGTGCAGTGAGAGAGACTAGCCATGGCGCGGTGACACCATCTGACCAGCACCGTGTGCTTGTTATTGATCTGTATATTGATTCTGAAAGGCACTTTAAGTTCAAAGTCATTTTATTTTTATTTCAGGCGTTTCAAACCAACGCAGCTGCTGTCGCTCTGGCTCGGCTGGGTGGCGTCATCATTAGCTGGCATCATCATTAGCAGCAGCAGGAAAGACCATGCCATGGGGAAATGGACAAATGCTACCAGCTCTGGGGACTTCCATCCAGGCTTCCTGGTACAATTAAGCCACCAGTTCTAAAAATATCAATTTGTGGGTCACATCCTAGTGCCGGTTCTGAGTAGGGTTCCAACGCTGGAAGTCTCTGGATGACTAACACACGGCTAACTGAGTGAGATGGGATGAAACCAGAGAGGGTCCACGGCCCATTATGGTCCTGTCACCTCTCGGGGTGCACAGCTACAGGTGAAGAGAAAAGGGAGGAGATAAGGAAGGATTGGGAGAAGGACAGTGCTGAAGGCTGGCCAAGCAGTCCCATGTCTGAGCCACCCACGGCCATGAACATCTGAGGCCTCTGGTGTGTGTAAGATGACACCACCTTCTTTTGCTATCACATGTGCCCTCAAAGACCTCACTGAGTCTAATCCCTCACACTAATCTATCACATGGACCTCAGAGAATCAGGACAGATTCCCAGAATCCTCCCAGCCCTCATCCCCCATGCAGACACCTAGTATGGCTTTCTCCTTACACCCTAATATACCCCTGGAATAAAGCTGTATAATCAACAGACACTTCAGGCAGGGGCTCCATCACTGACTTTATCAGCGAGAGTACCATTATCTAAAGCTCCTTCTAGCAAGCACACAGATGGTCAAAGGACTGAGAAGCATGTACATACGTGCATGTGTGTCTTTGTGTGGATGCGTGCATGTGTGTGTGTGTGTGTGCATGTATGTGCATGCATGCATGCATGCACACATCCCTTCAGGCTCCCTACTCCAGGTAAAGGAGCTGGGTGCCCATTCTCATGTTTAACATAATACTTTAATCCTATCTTCCAGGGGACCTGAATCATAGGAATTGCAGAAAAGATGTGGGCATCGCCACTGCACATCTGGCTACAGACCCAGTGGAAAGACGGACTGAGGTAAAGGCAATCCCGTTCTATGCCCACGCTTCTGGGGTCAGCGGATAGGGAGCCTAGCAGATTCTCCTGAGCTGATCTCTAACATGGGCTCAGGACAGTTACCTTCCCTCCTGGTTTGCATGTCCTGTGGCCTCCTGGGATATTCTCCCCAGGAGAGCATTTCTGCCAATGCTGCCCTTCCCCAGTGCAGGTGTCCCTGAACCCCTTGTAGGAACCTTTGCTTCCTGATGACCATGTCCTCCCAAGAACAGTAAGGGACAGTGTGCACTGTTAAGAAAAGGCCCTGGCTGTGACTTCAAGTCAAAAATAAAAAGCTCACCCTCTGGAGAGCAGCAAGCTATAGCTGACAGGTTAAAAGGAAGCAAGAGTCTGGAGTCTCCCTGCTGGGACACATGACCTTTGACTCTTCTAGCTTCCAAGAGTCCCTTCCCCACCCCTGATGTCACCTGGAATGGAGCCACTGGTTCTTGGTGTGCAACTGGGAAAGAGTTCCATTATTATCCTTGATTGGTCATAGTCCATCTCAGCTCTCTCTGTCGCCTCATGCCACCTCTGGACTGCTTCACATTTGACAGCGCTTTGTGTGAGAGTCATCTGGGAGCTGGAGTAGCTCCAAGCAGGTTCGATGCTGCAGGAGTTAGAACTGAAGACGTATGCTTCCAACAGGAGCCTCAAATGCCACCAAGAGCCCCTGCTTTAACTCCAAAGTGCCGCACAGATTTCTTGTCACACGATGAGTGACAGGACCCCTGCCCATTGGTCAGTGGCCACATTTGTGAAACTGATAATAAAAAGTCCATGTGGTTGGAGAGACAGCTGGGAGGTTAAAAGCCCTTGTTGCTTTTCCACAGGACACAAGTTCTCTCCCAACACCCATACTGGGAAGCCAACAATGACCTCCAACTCCAGTTAGAGGGGACCTGACACCCTCTTCTGGACTCTGTGGGTATTGCATACACACAAAGTATTGGTTCATACATATCTGTACTGCCACACAGACACAAAATAAATAAATAAACCTCTTTTTATTAAAGTCTATGATTACTTCTAAGAAAGGTGGATAGACAGATTCCATCTGAGAGAGAATAAGATGTAATCTATTCCTGATTTCCCCCAAGTCACTAACCAAGAGGAAGAACCCCCAGTTTCAAATCCTCTGTGATGCAAAGATAGAGCTGGGTGACAGGACCCTGCCTGAAATAAAGTTCCATTCCTGTTTCCTGCCAAAATCTGCCAAATACAACAGTTTCCCAGAGTGTTTCATTTCCAAAATCTGAAGGCTATTTACCAAATATTCCAGTGAACCCTCAAATACAGCCCATGTGTGCTTGTTGTCCCCTGTCCTTGCTCACAGAATTCCTGGATAAGGGTGTGGCCTCTACCAGACCAAAGGGAAGACAATGTCTCAGGGAAGGAGGTTCAGAAACCCAGGAAAATCAGGGTCTGGCTTCTTTTAATGATTCAAAGACAGGACAGATGTCAGGTGATTGCCTGGAAGTGGAGACTCCAAAATCCAGGTTATTGATGTTCCTCTCCAGAGCCCATGCCCTGGCATTTGAAGAAGTCAGAGGCAGAGACCTATGTAGGATCTGTCCGCGCATGTCCACCAACTTCTATCACTGTACAATGAGTCATGAGATTTGGGGCTCGAATGTCCACTGGCAGCTGGGCAGAGGCCCCAGGAGAGACAGAGGCCAAGAAGGATGGTGTTGACAGCCTGTGTGTGGAAGCAATCTCTTCCTGCCAAATTCTCCCTTCTATCATTGTAATCTAAAAAGGTCAAGATTCTAAAACAAGAAATACCCAACGTGGTCTGTTTCAGTGGTGTTTTTGTGTGGCCCCTGGACCAGAAGCAACAGCATCACCTAGAAACTTGGGACTGGAAAATCATGGGTACTACTCTAGGCAAGCTGAAACTTCATGGCAGGATATAGCAATCTACCCCTCCACCACCATACTCTGATGCATGTTCTGAGATCCATCATTCTATCTTGGCACATCATCGCTCTGTTGGGATGAACAGTTTTGTGCTGCAGAAGGCAGCCTGGTTCTCAGCATCACTAGGTGTAAACACATACATGCGTGTAACCTTCCCCATCCCTTGTTGTCATGTAGTCTTCGTTTACTTCATATTAACACCAAGTGGCAGCAGTCAGCCTTTGTGTAATAAGCAACTAGGTAACCTCTGCGTCTGGTTTCTAGGAGGAGGGTGCTAAGTCCTGGGGATTTCCCAGGGGAAGAAGTGTTTCTGCTATTATAGATGGGTTCCTGAATTCACAACTCAAGGGTATAGGCTTCTCACCCTTGAGACCAGACCAGCTATTGTAGAGTTTGAATCTGAGATACCTGATACAAGCTAACCTCTGGAAGGAAGGACAGGGAGGCTGGAGATGAAGTTCAACCAGTGATATAATCAGTCACACCCACTCAGTGAAGCCCTAGTAAGCACCCTGGACAAGGAAGCTCAACTGAGTCTTTCTTGGTGGCTATACCCTGCCAGTTATCACATTTCATCACAGGTAAGGAATTATAGACCCCTAAGACTACTAGAAGTTTTGAGTATAGAAGTCTTACAATCTTCATCCTGTATGTCTCTTCTCTTAGGGTTATAGTAACTTTAAGTTTGGTGCTTTTTTAAGGTCCATGACTCTTTCTAGAAAATTATCAAATTAGGATTGCTAGTTGGAAGCCTACAATCTGTAGCCCACCACCAGAAGTAAGGGTGGACTTGCGGAAGACTATCTTTTAACATTTGGTTTGGCCAACCCTAGTAGATGATTAAACAGGTTAATACCCATAGGTCTAAGAGGGAAGAAAATACCAGAACAGTGGAGAAGAAAGAAAGTTTCTCTTGCAGAAAGACATCTCAGAATGTAAACCAAGAAATGACATATAAGAAAAAGTGTCTGGCACCAGAGAGACATCAAAGACGGGAGGGCTGACTGGCAGGCATCTCATCAATTCCAGGCATCTGAAAGCTTTTACTCCACAGCTTCTGAACCCATCCCATGTACACGTATCACTTGAGCGTCCTGATGATATTCCAATTCTGACCCAAAGTGTAGGGTGAGGACCAGACACATCCTTAGAGCCAAGCTGCTCAGGATGGGGGGGGGGGCATCCCTTAACATGCAGGAAGCCAGGCCTTGCAATAGGGCTATCTGACTACAACAGTGGGCAGAGCCCATACTACATACACCACAGCTGTTCATTCAGTGTCTGTCTGTCTGTCTGACCTATCTTTATTCATTAGCTACCATGGAAGTGATTCCTACCACAGGGCTGGATGAGGTCCAAAGGAAGGGTCTGTGCCTTAAGAGGGCTCAGCATTGGGGTCTCAGAGGGGCAGCCAAAGTGCTGAGCTGCAGGCCTGTGCGTGGGGAGTTCAAGGGACCAAGTAGGATAGGCAGTGGCATTTGGGGAACGAAAGGTCTAATAGTAGGTGACTCTTTCCTGAATCTGAGATTGTCCCAAGGTAGAAGCTGGTGAGACAATTATACAGATCACCAACTGAAAAGCTGAGGAACTGGTGGGAAATCTCCAGAGAAGAGACAACGGGGCATGCAGAGAGTTGTTCCAAGGAAATAGCTCATGTGTTTGTGAAGGTTGCCAAGTCTGACGTTTGTCGTGAAAGATGACAAGCTAAAGACTCTAGTAGGGTCTCATCATGTAGTCTCGAGTCTGAAGGCAGCCCAGAGTGTAGTTCCTTCCTGTTTGAGGACTCTGAACTTTCCTCTGAGATCCTTGAGTGGATGGATGAGATCCATCCATCCTGGGGAGGAGAGTACTTTACTCAAAGCCCAGTGATGCATCTCCCAGCCAACCACCAGAGCCAGACAGCCTAGCAAAGCTGACACACAAAGTTGTACGATAAATGCATGGACATTACTCTGACCTCAATACACATCAGGCAAGGGTACCACAAGTCAGGGCAGATAAGACAACATCATGTTTCCAGTGTAAGTATCATCTGTTTCTATTCTTCCCACCACATCCTCCAGGTATCTAATCCCTTCTGGGGAAAGTCTCTTCGCTGCATAGGCACGGAAGGCAGCATCACTTCCGTACCTGCCACCGCCACCCCCACTTCCACCTCGCCTTCAGTGGGTGTGATCATCCTGGGATTCCGAGCTAGGATAACTTACCCTGGGCAGCAGATCCTGGGCAGTGGTACTTAGTAATAGGTGCTATACTGTCCCCAGCTCAGTCATTCAGACCCCAGTAAGGAACGGGATTCCCCTTTTGGGTGCATATTCCAAAAGCCAGACCTTATTTATTTCACAGTAGAGATCTTTATCAGAGGTTATTTTGCTCATCCAATCTTTAAATACACAGAGATTCTTGTCATACACATACAAACACACTAGTTTACCAGAACCTAAAGGTGAGGTCCTAGACCACCTTTACCTGTAGAGTGAGGTAATCCACAATTAATATCTTGTAGTAGATAGATTCCATTCCAGACTTATGTATCTATAGCCCATGAATGGTCTGTTCACTCTCCCAAGTCTCCGGAGTTCCCTACATTCCATGGCAACCAGAGATATTTGTTCTTTAAAAGGGGCCTAGGCAGTTTGGATGCTCAACTTACTAGACCTGAATGGAGGTGGGGGTTCCTTGGACTTCCCACAGGACAGGGAACCCTGATTGCTTTTCGGGCTGAGGGGGGGGGGGGACTTAATTGGGGGAGGGGGAGGGAAATGGGAGGCTGTGGCGGGGAAGAGACAGAAATCTTTAATAAATAAATAAATTAAAAAAAACTAAAAATAATACTTCTGAGAATAATAATAAAATCTTTTTAATGTTAAAAAAAAAAGGACCCTGAGATAGAAAACCATGGCGGGCAGCTCCTAAACCATTACACTGGAAAGGCCGGAAGCAAGCCTGAGAATCTGTCTTCGCATAAAGCACTGTGGATAATTCTTATGCATTTTAGAGTCTGATCATTACAGCCAGGACTCTGTTCTTAGGGGCCCCCTCACCTAAGAACTCCACCAATTTAGGACTGAAAACATTCGGGAGAGAAATTTTGCTATTTCCAAACACATACAGGCATTCTGCCATAAGCCATAAGCAATTAACAACTACATACACAGCATCCCTGTTGTTCGATTTTAAGTAAACTAAAGAGAAATTAAATCTCATGAGTGGATGTGTATAGTTTATATATAAACACTGCACTATGACATAGAAAGACTTGAACAGTCCTTGATCTGGGGTACTCGAGGAAGTTCTATAACCAATTCCCATGGATACCAAGGACAACGATGGAGGTCTAAGGACACTCTTCTTTTCCCCCTACTGTGTTGTTTTGTTTGAGACAGGGGCTTGGTAGAAAGGTCAGGTTTGGTATAAAGGTTATGATCCTCCTATCTCAGCCCTCTGTGTGCTGGGATATAGGTGTGCACCTCACACACAGCCAAGGGGACTCTCCTATGAATGGTGAGGGCACATGAGAGTAACAATGAACATGCAAGGAAATGCACGTCCATTATTTAAGCAGCACAGCCTATGGATGTACACTTTGGCAGCCCTAGAACGTGAGTCTATTGTTCTTCATATTTTGTCTGAGGTGCATTCACTGAAAAACAGACTTGAGCTTCCTGGATCCCTGTACCCAAAACAAAACAGATGAGGACTGCCAAAAATACGGAGGTAGAGACAATCTACCAAGCAGGTGCTAACAAGAATGAAGCAGGAACAGTGACATTGACTGTGGAAAATAGATGTAAACAGTGAAATATATAAAGATAAGAAAGAAATAATTCCTGGATCCAATTAGCAACACACTCCCAAAATGCCCATGATGGTGAGCGAAGGGGAGATTGACGGCTGTTATTCACATG